GCTAAGGGACTCTTCAAAAAAAAAAAATCACATTAAAACAAACTTTCCAGCAGATCCTTCCACAGCTCCTCAAACACAACATCTCTGCCTCTCTCCAACCTCACCAGCAGCATCACCTGGAGCTTCCAGAAATGTCATATATTGAGCAGCCTGAGCAGCCCCAGCAAGGGATGACATTTCCCACCCCTTCTGCTGCCCCAGCAATCTTGGTTTCCATTGCACAAATTTATTGTAGGTGAGCAAAACCTGCAGCAGCAGAGAAGGGATCTCTCCCACTCCCTGCAAACATCCTGGACTCATTTTGGGGCCTTCTTTCCACCTATTTCTGACACTGTTCCACAATTTCCTCAGCTCAGCTGAATCACTAAAATCCCAGGAGTCTGTTGGAAGGGAAAAGCTGCATTAAATGAGGGGGGTGTGTGTCTTCTTTGGGATTAAGAACATCCCAGGATGTTGCCACCCCTTGGGTCACACTTTGACCCACAGAATGTCACCACCCTTTCACTGTATCAAGCTGAGTTCGTCTGCAAAGCTGCTGGAGAGGGGCTCAATCTGACATTTGCACCAGATTTGTCTGGAAAACATTCCCTGGATGGTCTTTGCCAGCACTTCCAGGCTCTGAGCAGAACTCAGACCTGTGACCCTGGAAACCTTTCATTCCAAGAGGTGCTGCACCTGATCCCAGGTTTCCAGCCTCACTCCAAAGCTTTGCAAGGCTTTGGATAACCAGTCTGATGCCCCCTGAGAGCTGCTGGTTTTGTGGTGCAGCCCAAAGCACGGGTGTCTCTTACTAAAACATAAGAACACGGGGAGGGAGCTCAAAGTGGTGCCCTGGGTTTTTTACCTCTTCCTGACAGCCCCAAAGCACTGGCAGGGAGTTCTTCAGCTTCAATAACATCAGGGAAATACTCTGATATCAAGAATTAAAGAGTTCAGATTGGATTCCCCTCCAATTCAACATTCAGCACACTCCTTGCTGATATATCCAGTTCCCACAAGAGAGACAACTTAAAATCGCATGGAAAAGGCAGTTTTTCCAGAAAACCCTCGTCTCCTTCCTCCATCACACACAGAATGAAGTCACTGTGTCATTCCCCCCTCTCAATCCTTCATTTACAAAGTCGAGCACCCCCCAATGGACCCCAAAAGTTCATGCTGGTTACAAGTGCTACTGTGAAACAAAGGTACAACACGACAAAGCCCCGAATCTCAGGCGAGCACCTGGTGAAGCACAAATTAAATAGCAAAGAGTCCGTGTCAGAGGGACAAAAGCACGTTTTGGGTGACAAATGACCCGGTGTGGACCTGGAGAAGCAGCAGCCTCTGAAAGCAAAGCCGAGGGGGGGCTGTGAAGGGAAAAAGGGCTCTTGGCTTGTTTGGAAGGATGCCACGGTCCCAGGGAGCAGTTTTTGAGGTCAGAGCAGGGTTTTCCTCAGTCCAATCTACACTGCAGGGGTGTGGTTCCCATCCTTCCCTTCCCAGGGATGTGGTTCCCATCCTCCCCTTCCCTGCTACGCTCCCATCAGCATTCCCATGAAGTCGGATCCGTTCTGGATGGTGACGGGAGCTCCGGCGCTGTTGTCCACGAAGATGGAGGTGTATTGCCCAGCCTGCAGGAGAAAGGGAAATATCTCACACATTCCAGCCTAAAAAGGGGGAAAAAACCACCCATTTCACCTCCCTCAGCTAAGCCCAGCAGCCTCCTGCCCTTCCCTGGGGGAACAGGATCTGCCCCAACATCAGCCTGGACTGGGAGGGAAGAGATTTTCTGCAGGGAAACTCTTACAGGTTTATTTTAACTCAGTCCTTTCTGCACTGGCATCTTTCGGGGTGACCTGTGCTTCAGCTTCCCTCCTGTGAGATGGGAAATCCAGTTGTCACTTTGGCAATGCCAGGGGAGAGTGGAGAAGGGAAAATATTGGCTTTCATTTCTTAGAGGGGAGGTTATTTCCGGACCTGAAGATCAGGATGGGAAATGTGGATCTGCCCCAGGTTCTCCCCAGTCCCCCCCAGCTGAGGCATTTCAGTTTATTCACATCAGGAAAAGGGGCATAAAACCTTCCCCCTCTGCTGCTGAGAATTCAGCCTGGCCAGGAAATAATTCCAAAGCCTTCCAAGAGAAGCAGGGCAGTGATTCCCTGGGTGCAAGGACTCACCTGCAGCTGCAGTAACCCATGGACATAGATAGTGAAGATCTTGCTGTTGCTTTCCAGCCCAGCAATGACTTCCAAAGACCTAAAAAGAGAAATAAATGGGTTAAAACCCCTTAGGCAACCACAGCAGTTGTATTTGGAATGACAACTGGCTCACAACCCCCCTGGAAGTGAGACCAAGAGAACTCAAGAGGTGACCTGCTGGCATTTGGAAGTGTCCAAGGCCAGGTTGGAGCAATTTGGGATAGTGGAAGGTGTCCCTGCCATGGGATGGAACAAGATGAGCTTTAAGGTCCCTTCCAACCCAAACCATTCCATGATTCCACGATTCCAGCAGGAATTATGCCTTAAAAATAAAACAGAACCTTGTCCTCGCTGTCTGATGGAAACCCTACAGGGGACTCACACAGGGCTGGGAATTCAACACCCAGCTGGGGGCAGGATTGGGAGCCCTCTTTTCTCTCACCTTCTCAAGGTCCTGTAGTCTCTATCCCCACCCACCCTTTAGATTGATCCACACACCAATTATCCCGGTTTTTTGACCCCCACAACAGTTTATACTTGTTGTTCTGCAAAGAGCTGCAGGCACTCTGCCAACAACAGCTCGTTTAGTTGCAAGGTGTGAAAGGCCTGTTTCACCTTAACGACACAGGCAGTCAGCCTGGGTGAGAAAAACATCCCCTGCAGCTGTTTTGGGAGGACATTTGGATCGGGGGGCACAGGGAAGCAAAAAAACCCAATCATTAAATAGCTGTGCTTCAGCTCCAACTGGAGCAGAGCTCCACCTCACCCCCTCAGGCACTGCTCTTTTCTAACATCCTGCTCTAAGAGCCATCCTGTTCCTTGGGAGATGCAGGACAGCTGCTCCTGTGTTCACAGAATTCCAACCTGGCTCCCCTGGGCAGGATCCAGGGTGGGAGGAGGTTCCTGAGACACCAGCACAGCCCGTGTGAGCTCAGCCCCAAAGCACCATCCAGAACGGATCCGACTTCATGGGAATGCTGATGGGAGCGTAGCAGGGAAGGGAAGGATGGGAACCACATCCCTGGGAAGGGAAGGATGGGAACCACATCCCTGCAGTGTAGATTGGACTGAGGAAAACCCTGCTCTGACCTCAAAAACTGCTCCCTGGGACTGTGGCATCCTTTCAAACAAGCCAAGAGCCCTTTCCCCTTCACAGCCCTCCTCAGGTTTGCTTTCAGAGGCTGCTGCTTCTCCAGGTCCACACTGGTTCATTTGTCATCCAAATGCTTCTTCCCTGCCTCCCCAGGGCTGGCTGAGCTGGTTGTTTTCCCAAGAAAACCAACCCCTTTCCTCCCTTTTTTTTTCCATGGAGGGGGTTGCTGATGAAACCTTGCAAGTGCAAACGTGCTGCCTGCAAGGGGATGATGTGAAAGGCAACTGGGGGCAATTTGGCCCAGGGAGAAGGAGCCACTTGGCACCAGCTTGGCTGAGGAGCTCAGGCTGTGTGTCATATCCTGCCAAAAGCCCAACTGGGGTGGGGACTTCCCATCATTAATCTCTTCCACTCCAACTGTCTCCTTCGCCTCCCGAGTTTCCATCCTGAGCCCAAAGCCCCGGGGGCTCTCCCAGCTCCCTCCCGGAGTGACTGAGTGTGCTGACATCCCAGGAAATGTGACTGTGTGTGCTCACATCCCAGGAAATGTGACTGTGTGTGCTGACATCCCAGGAAATTCCACAGGCACGGTGTCCAGGCAGGTTCCCATCCCTCCAGCCAGCTCCTTCCATGCCACAGGCCAGTCCCATCCCACCCACCCCACAAGAAAAGGGAATTCTGCTGGTTCTGCTTCACTGCCCAACCAACCCAGAGCCTTGCAGGATCATAAATTGTGACCCTGGACAGCTGAGGAAAACTCCAAGCCAGACATCAGAGGGTTTTATCTCAATGATTAACATCTGGGTCAGCTCTGTCTAAGAAAA